CTTACCTGTCATCAGGAGAAATTGCAAGCTTAAAGTCATCAAATATCAATTCGGCATCATATATTACACTGAGATGAGATCGCAAATGCGCCTGAATAGGATAAACCTCCATTGGACAAGATGGCATTTGAATGTCCCATACTGAAAAAACAAGATCGACTTGGAAGTTACGGCATCTAACATGCTAAATCTGATATTGAAATAGACATGAAAAAGTAGTCCAACAGCTGTCAAGTTATTTTAATGACTCACCCTTTACGTTTAGATAATCTCTGGCGAAAACAAATCTGTCAGACGTATTTCCGAAGCTGATGCTCGAAATTGAGTTAATGAGTAAAGTTAGGAGGCTGGGTTCGTCAGCAGCTAGGCTATCAAAAGCTAAAAGAAGGACAAATTAGAAACAACTCTTAGCCAACAACAATTTGATTAATGGGAACATCATTAACCAGTTTGATTCCAACTAACAACTCGATGGCTAAAACGAGCCAGAGTTATTATTGATAAGCTTCTCGGAGTAATCATGTGCATTTAAATATATAATTAAAATATCGCTTACTCAGTATGGGTCTATCACAGAGGGCACTGGATCTAGTATCACATAATCGAATTGATCCTCTATTGGTACTATAGGCAAATAAGGATGGAGACCGGTTTGCACATACGAGCCCAGTAATGAGATGTGATATGTCTTCCATGCGCGGGGGCATCAGATCTACGACGTTAAAGGATTCATCATGTACATGCAGATTCCAAAGATTTATTCGCAGGGGATCAGCAGACAAAAAGTACTCCATATCAGCACACGGAGCGATGTCTGTTATCGAAAATCCATGGCCTCTAGTGTAGGTATGTTTGTTGGACATACGAACAATTGTGGCTTGGGCCTCATTTGAATAAGCAGGTACACGGATGTCTGAAGATGATCTAATAACAACTTTCTTTCTACATCCACTCTGAGTAGGAAAGTTCATATTGGAGACTTCCTGAACAGGAACCTCAGACAGCCGCCACAATTTGATGGTTCTTTCTGTCAATGAAAATGGTCTAATTAGGCGGGAAATAAGAAACTTAACTAATATAATAGGCTGGTTCAGAGTAACTATGACAAAGTCGGCATTTAGTAACCGCACTACTGAAACAGTAGCGCAATGTTAATAACGTCAATGAGATA